GCGAGAACATGAACCGAGCCTTCACTTCGTCCTAAGTGTTGCTGAGAAACCCTGTCCTTGGTGGGTGAACACAGTGAACACCGTGAACACCTCTTAGCCTTACTGTGCATGTTGCTTTCTCGGGCCCTATTTTTCTGGGCAAGAAAGAAGGAGCGGCAGGTCTCGAACTGATCTGGCTACATGTCGAAAAACGGTCTGGTCGGAAGTGAACGAAACGAGCACTGCCTCACCGTATCACCGTCGGAGTGTACCGTGGTGCTTTCATGGTCGCAGACCCGTCAGATGTCTCCGGTACTGCATGTTGGAGTACACAAGTAAACTGTTAAGTGATTTCGGAAATGAATGACTAGATTGCTGGCCGCAGCTGCATTTGCTCACGCAGAGGTTCGGTGGCCATATGCTTCCCTCCCAACTCCGCAGACTTCCTCGGCAAGACTGAGAAATGGGTTTGTCATGTTTGTCACTGGCTATTTGCTTCTGTCAGCTATCCCCCCGCGCTCTCTCTCTCTCTCTCTCTCTCTGTAATTAATGTGACATCACTCGCATCTGAAGACAGTGGCAGTCTGGAATGTCCCAAACCCTGTTGACGGCAAAAACAACCACCTCTCTTTGATGATTTTCTATTGCCGAACACAAAAGCATCTTGGCAAAAACCATCAAAAACTGCATCCGGCCATTGCAAATTGCAAATGATCTAGATCTTTGAAGATGACCGAGATGACTATTGGAGAAAGATCGATGGGAAAAGTGTACTTGTTGGAGAGGTTGAGAAAAGAAAGGATGTCTAGGCTCTGAGGACAAATGGCCACAAGTTGTGGCACCAAAAAGGTCTTGATCTTTGCCCATGCTGATACAAGATGATAGGAGTCTCAAATGACTTACACAAAAGAATCCCTGCGCCATTGGATAGCCAAGGCTCCCTATTAGAGTTGATGTATTCCCAGCTATATTCTCCAGCATGTTGTGGTATTGCTTCTCCTGAGGAGCTAGGCACACGCAGGACCAGGTGACCAAAGATCACAAAGGTTTGCGCAGGTGTATCGAGCAAAAGCGATGTGAAAAGATGCTTGCCAACACACTGAGCCTTGGAGATGTCTGGAGCCTTGGAGATGCCTGGAGCCTTGGAGATGCGTGGAGCCAGCGCTGGATGCCTAGCATCCACCATCCACCTTCTTCGCCGAAAAAACCCGCATGTCTTCGCACGAGACAGGCCAGCCGGTCCTTACCGAGCTGATAGGCCAAGAGGTCGGCGCACTTGGCCAGTTCCCCACGATACATCACGATGTCCTTGTTTCAGGGCCCGTTTCGGGCACGGCGCCGCCGTGCCGTGGCACCGTTTGAACCATTGATGAATCGGGTGTTTCGGGTTAGGGTGCCCTGTTAAGCATGATTCTCTCTGGGTCTTGCCTGCTACATGTCAAAATGTCGGGACAAGGCATGCACTTTCTTGGGGATGTGTGGTTCAAGCATGGAGCTTTGAGCAAGCATGTTTTTCAAGGGAAGGTTTGAAAGAAGCCAATCAGAATTTGAGTTCAAACCAATGGCTTCCACGTTTTGTACCGATTCTCTACACCAGGACCAGTACTGAAAACGTGCTCCAAGCCTTCACCAAGAAGGTCCAAGCCTTTACTCAACACAAACAACAAGCCTTCACACTGTTGCGAACTGGAAAAAAGACGGAAGACTAGGCCTTTTCGGTAAACATTGAATATCTAGAGATCTCTATAGGGCCTATAATATACCCTAATCTTCAAAGGCTAAGTCTAACTTCGACGTTGTTTCTGTCTATGTTTAACCAGGTTAAACTTCGTCGTTCTGCGGAGTCTGTTCTGTTTAAGACAACTAACATGAGTAAAACTTAGACGCGCTGAGGTGTACGAGTTTAACTTCGACGTTTCTCATTGGCTAAGTTAAACTTCAACGTTGGAAGTTCTGGGTATATCATGGTATATCTATATAGGGTTTTGATGCATGGTCTGCTCATGTAAACCGCTTGAACCGCTTCCGCTTCGCGCACCTCCGACATCTGCATCACTTCACGCTCGAACTCCGCGCACAGCTGATCACACACCTGGACGGGGTTGGGAGGATCCAAGTGACCCAGCATGAAGCTGGTGGAATCCGGGGAAACATGAAAAACCTCCAAAAAACATGAAGAAGATCTAAAGACATCTAAAGACCATGAAAAAGATTCAAAAAAAAATCATGAAACCTCCAAAAAGCCCCAAAAGCACCATGAACAGCTGTTCTTCTGTTCAATCGTTTTCCTTCAGCTCCGGTTTTCTTCTCAACCTACCCGGGTCGCTCCCCGGCCAGCTCCGCGACCCGCTCCGCCGTCGAGACGAAGCGGCGGCGCCTGCGCCAAAAAGTTGCGAAAGGCATTGACACGTGGCGCCACGTGCTCCTCCTGAGAGCGAAGCGAGATCTGCGGAGTGTGAGGTGGACGATGAAAAAGAAATCATAGACTGTTTTCAGACTAGTTGTTATCACAGTGTTTTGTTCGCTTGCTTAACCAACTAAATATGTATTTTATGACAGCCCCAAGGCCCCAAAGACAAATCAATTCGATTAATTCCTCTATCTTCAATAGCAATCTGCATGGTCCTCAAGACAACAGGTGTTGCCTCGTCGTTTTCGAGCCCAAGAACCTCTCCCTCCAAGGCTCATGATTCACCGTCGCAGCCATTGGATGAGCGATGCGGAGGCGTTGAAACCCGAGAGGTCGAGGGTGCGGGGGCGGCTTGAGGCTGGCGGCAGGCAGCTGTCAGCAGCAGAGTTCAATAGTGATCTCCAAATAGATAGTGGCACGGTGGCACGGAATCCAATACATTTATAGGTTGGGGATCTACGTTTCTATACTTTTCTATCTATTTGAGGGTCTATATCAAAGAGATGTTGCTTCAAAGAGATAAGCTCGGAAGGTAGGCCGGTTGCCGAGGCTTTGGGCCTTGGAACACCACCGGTCCTGTTGATGGCACCAATCCAGACTGGTCTTGATGGAAATGACACAGCAAGGATACACCTATTTATGGAAACGCGCATTTCGACCATAGTCATCGGCATGCTTGTTGGTGGGTGCCAGCTTGGTGTAGTCTCTGAAAATAGATTGGAAGCTTTGAGTGGTTTACACGCCCGAAAACTCAAATGGACCCGGGTCACATTGATCGACCTTGGAAGACGATTTTCCTCGACAGCTGCACCAGTGGTTTTCAGGGTGCATGTGAGTTTTCCACTGGGTATTTGATTTCATCCCCTTTGAATCCAGGAGCGCCATGCAGGTGGTGCGGCTGCTGCGCAAGCGCACGTGTTACGGACGGGACTCCCACGACCCGAGCACCACAGTGAACCCAGGCACCTCGTATTCCTCGCTGTCATGGGGTTCGTTGGAAAAGGCATTCTGATGAGGCCGGTACCTGAGTACATGGGTTGAATGTCTTGAGAAATCTGAGACAGCCTGGAAATCCAGGTACTCATGCCTTGACAGTACAATAGTATGAGACATCAGGTACACATGCCTTGACAAGTACCTGGATACTTGTAGGACCTCACCAGCCTTATCATGGGTTGAAGTGGACCTTCAAGACCTTCTGTGCTGGTGTTCTTCGAGACCTTAGACTGGTTGCTACGTCCTGCAGCCCACCAAACCTGGCTGAACGTGACCTGGAGGAATCTGCTTGCGCAGCAAGCTAATGAATTCATCAAGTGGCACGGTCCAAGAAGGATAGAATGACAAGAACGGACGTCTGAGATGGGCAGCAGTGTCTGGACAGAGTTCTCAACAAAACTAACCTGAACTTGTCCTCCAACTTGCGATCCTTCGGCAGTGGGGATGGCTCTCTCCTAAATCCTCCAACTTCTGACTGGTGCAGGAAATAAGGGAAGTTTCGCCCCCAAGAGAGATTCCATTGGATCATATTGGATCCAGCCACCCTCACTGCCTACTAAGCACGTTCGTCAAACTTCAGGAACCTCTGAAGATTCTCATACCAATTTGGCTTTGCCGGTTCACCGAATGGATCGACGTGAGTGCGTCGCTGCTGTCGCTGCTGAGGTTGGAACCTTCCAAACGTGAACGGAAGGGTGAGGGTTTCGAAGGTGAGGTCATTTGTATTCCTTTTGCTTTTGAAGATCATGCAAATCTATTGTACATGATTCACATACCCTAAAGAAATGGGTCAATGACCTGTGGTCGGTTTCTTTACTTTATGTCCTGTGTCCATGACCAAAGACATCCATTCTGCCCTTCTCAACCCCCCCCTGCCCTTCTCGCACGCGGCTGTGCCCGGCTGTGCCCCGGACATGTTGCGTGGGCCACAACGAGCGAAGAATTCCTCTCATCAACAAGTGTCAGGACGAATCCTCAGGACTCATCTCAAGCCCTAAATCTCTACATGGGTATAATATATGGCATAATTCTATACCCCCAGAGCCTATTCCATCTATTCCTCGTGAGTCATAGTGTTTGAACTATAACTCCTCAAACAATTTGAAGGGTGATTGCCAGCTATAGCCCGCATATGGCACTCCATGTATATATGGCCCGTCGGTTGCCTTGGATGCAGTCGAAAACAAGGCTAGCGACGACATCACTATACGTTGCACTATCCACATGGTCAGCATCACGTGCTCCCAGCACCACGTTCGTTCGTGGATGATGAGTTGAGGTCAGGTGAGGTCTGATTCCACTGATGTCGACGTGACGTCAACGCGCCTGATGCTGCAAATGAGCTGGCAAGTCAGCGAAGTCCAAGGTGCGCTGATGCCTTGGATGAGCGTCGAACCCATGAAACAAACATGGGAAACACAAGCAGGTCTAGACAGGATTTGTCCTGTACCAAGCAGTTTATCTTTTC